AGAACTATATATAACGATATACTCAACAGAATGGCTAAAATGTAAAAGACTGGCTATCTCAAGTTTTGGTGAGAATGTGAAGGAACTGGAATGCTCATATATGACTGATGAGACTGTACAATGGTACAGACACTCTGAAAGACACTTTGACTTTACACATATATAAGTTTAAACATATACATACTTTATGATTCAGAAACTTCACTGCTAGGTATTTGCTCAAGAGAAATGAAGACATGTCCATACAATGACTTGTTCATAGTAGCTTTATTCATAATTGCCCCAAATTGGAAACAACCCAAATGTCTATCAACAGGTGAATGAATAAACTGTGTTGTAACAATACAATGGAACACTACTGAGTAATCAAGAGGAATGAACTACTTAGACCTGAAACAACATGTATGAGCCTCAGAAACATTATGCAGAGTGACAGAAGCAGACACAAAGGAATGCATGCTGTATAATTCCATGTACTGAAATATTAGGGGCCGGGCACGGTAGCTCATATCTGTAATTCCAGCAGTTTGAGAAGCTGAGTCAGGTGTATCACCTGAGGTCGGGAGTTCGAGACCAACCTGACCAACATGGAGAAACCCCGTCTCAACTAAAAATACAAAATTAGCCAGGCGTGGTGGTGGGCACCTGTAATCCCAGCTACTTGGGAGGCTGAGGCAAAAGAATTACTTGAACCCGGGAGGCGGAGGTTGCAGTGAGCCAAGGTCATGCCATTGCACTGGGCAACAAGAGTGAAACTCTGTCTCAAAAAAAAAACAAAAAGAACAAAGAAATGTTAGGAAAACAAATATAATCTATAGTGCCAGAAAGATGATCAGTGGCTGCCTGGAGCTGGGGATTGAGGGAATTGACTGAGAAAGGGCATCAGGGAACTTTCTGGGGTAATGGAAATATTCTATAGATCTTGATTGTGGTAGTGGTTCTGGGAGTGCATAAAGAGATATTCTTTGTCACTATTTACAATATGGCTAAGTAAAAGATATTTAGTAGACTGGTTGCGGTGGCTCATTCCTGTAATCCCAGCACTTTGGGAGGCTGAGGTGGGTGGGTCACGAAGTCAGGAGTTCGAGACTAGCCTGACGAACATGGTGAAACCCCGTCGCTACTAAAAAATACAGAAATTAGCCAGGCATGGGTTATGTGCACCTGTAATCCCAGCTACTCAAGAGGCTGAGGCAGGAGAATCACTTGAACCCAGGAGGCAGATGCTGCAGAGAGCCAAGATTGCACCACTGCACACCAGCCTGGCTGACAGAGCAAGACTCCGTCTCAAGAAGAAAAAAAGATATTTGGTATATGTGTGTGTATATCTATATGCTACAGTTTGGATGTTTGTTCCCCCCAAAACTCATGTTGAAATTTGATCCCCAGTGTTGGAGGTGGGGCCTCATGGGGGGTGTTTGGGTACAGGGAATGGATCCCTCATGAATGTCTTGGTGCCATCTTTGTCCTAAAGGTAGTAAGTGAGTTCTTGCTCTATTAGTGCCTATGAGAGCCTGGCACTCCCCACCATAGGCCCCTTGCTTTCTTTCTGGCTGTGTGATCTCTGCACATGCCAGATCCCCTTCGCCTTCCACCACGATTGAAAGTTTCCTGAAGCCCTCACCAGAAGCAGGTAATGGCTCCATGCTTCTTGTACAGCCTGAATAACTCTGAGCCAAATAAAGCTCTTTTCTTTGTCAATTACCCAGCCTCTGGTCTTCCTTTATAACAACACACAACAGGCTAAGACAATCAACATATATACATACACATATGACATGAGATCTCAATTTTGAAAATATAAAGGGAGGCAGAAAAAGAGCAGCGAGGGCATATTTACTGAAAGGTCTCTAGCTTATGCAGTTACAAGAGATTAAACAATTAGTTTAATACTTTTCTGTTTTTTTCTAGATTTTCTCCCATGAACAACTATTAATACGTTAGCAAACAATCTTAAAACATTTAAATTCTTATTTAAAAATTATTTTTATCTTTAAAAATTTTTAAGGACTATTTGGTGATACATATCATAGAGAAGGGTTAAAAAGAGGCAGGGCTGGGTGCATTGGCTCATGTCTGTAATCACAGCACTTTGGGAGGCTGAGATGGGAGGACTGCTTGAGCTCAGAGTTTGAGACCAGCCTGGGCAACATAGTAAGACTCCCCTCTCTACAAAATATTTAAAAGTTACCTAGCCATAGTGGCACAGGCCTGTAGTCCTAGCTTCTGAAGAGGCTGAGGTGGGAGGATCACTTGAGCCCAGGAGGTTGAGGCTGCAGTGAGCCATGATCACACCACTGCACTTCAGGCTGGGCAACAGAGCAAGACCCTATCTCACAAAAAGGCAGGGTGGGGGAGGCAGTAGTCACCTTGTTCTCTAGTTAACTGACTATTTCTCTTTACCAAGGCACTGGACTGCCTGGCAACCAAAGCATGTGAGTAAAGAACCCCATAATGCTGAGTAATGCATCTCAGCAAGTGGGTGCCTCCTAAAAATTTAGAAGGTGTAGATGAGGTCAGCACATTTTGCCCAAGTGTCCTGCTGAGATCACTGAGCCCTCACTATGGGCAGGGCCCTAACCCAGGACCTTCAGGGAGGTGGAGCTAAAGGGACTTCTGGGTGTGCCCCCTGGGAAGCCTGACCTAAAGGAGCTCTGTGAGGACCACCTCCTCTCTCCAGGCTGTGTGCCACCCAGTCACATGGGCATAAGGAGACAGACACCCTAGAGTCTCACACCATGGGCTGGATGACACTGGGAAGGACTCCTTTTCAGAGGGACACTCCCAAAGCTGGCACCCCGCTATGGCCATCACCCTCTTTGAACTCCAACATGGTGGGGGCCACAACTTCTTTTCGGTACCTCCCACTCCCATTGCTCCTGTATGTGAAGGTAGCCAATGACTACTTTTACTGAATTAGGTCATTTTTTAAAAGTTGACTTTGTGGGACAAAGGGAAAGGAGCCATTTCTCTTGATAGAGGGTGCTGATGCCAAAGCCATGGCTGAGGGCAGGAACCATGACCCTATACTTCTCCCAGGGGTGAGCAATCCGAGGATGTTCCTGTGCCGTCCTTGGAAAAGATCGTGAAGTCGTTCAAACCATTCTTTGTCCCAAATACGAGCAGTTGCTTCTTTACTCACTTCCCGCCCTTGCTTCTTCATCCAGGAGATGGTTTTCACCCAGACCAGTTCCTCCGGAGCCTGTCCCTGGCTCGGCCAAACCACCCAGAGAACGAGCCATGCTGGTTGAAACCTGGCTCGTCTTGCTCAAACGACCTTCACAGTGGCTTGCTTTGTATTTCCGAGCCACACTCTCTGGCTTTCTTCTAACTTCCCTGCACTGAGAAGAGAGCTGAGGAAACTTGGCATTGCCATTCCCTGTGGACATGCCACCCACCACAGGAAATGGATGTGGCACTGAGAAACCAGGCTGGTCCTTCCCACAACACATAATTATTGGTTTTAATATTTGGATGGTTTAATCCAGTGCCAGGTCTCTTGTTCTTGAAGGAGCCAGGACATAATCCCCCGTCCTTTCTTCCAAAGCAAACCCAGGAGCCTTTGTTCTCTGGGCTGATTTCCTTTGACGAGGTTTTCCTTTCTTCACTCACCTCGGGCACTAATTACGGCCCACACCCGCTTCCATCTGTTGTGGTTTCTGAGCTAGGAATGGAAGTGTAGTTGGATGTTTTATCATCACTTTGCAACATGGGCCTAAAAAAGCACACCCTTCCCTGTAATTTCCACTCCTCTGGGCTTCTGTTCAGCTTTGGTTTTTGCTGAAACAGCACTTTAAGCAAAGAATAGACAAGATATGGGCCTTTCTCAGAAGTGCCACCCACCTCCCTATCTTATCAGAAAAGTCAATCAACTGAGGGAGCCAGTTTCCATCTTTAATCATCCATCCATCAACAAGGAAGCAGATATTTACCCCATACCTGCCAAGATGCCAAGAGGCCGTGGGAGGTTCGCAAAGGTGGAGGCCTGCCCTAATGCCCCAGGTAGTTCACCACCTAGACTGTGCAGTCAGAACATATTCTCAGCTCAGACCCATGTAGCTGATCAAGCACAGATCAATGATCAACCCAAGAAAAGACACACAGCAATATGGAATTCAGTTTGCTGCATATACAGTGGGCAGCTCTGCAAACTCAGAGCAGTTTGAGGTCGCTGTGGCCTGGAGGGCTCATGGAAGGAGAAAGAGAAGCGCTCTTTGAACTGAGTCTTAAAAATCAAGGAAAAGGCTGGGCGCGCTGGTTCACGCCTGGACTCCCAGTATTTTTGGGAGGCCAAGGCAGGAGGATAACTTGTAATCAGGAGTTCGAGACCAGCCTGGGCAACACAGTGAGACCTCGTCTCTACAAAAAATTTTTTAAAAATGAGCCAGGCATGGTGGCATGCCCCTGTCACCCTGGCTACTCGGGAGGCTGAGGTGGGAGGATCACTTGAATCCAGGAGTTCAAGGTTGCAGTGGACTATGATCATACCACTGTACTCCAGCCTGGCAGACAGACCTTGTCTTTGAAAAAAAAAAATTAAGGAAGAGTTATTCAAGAAAGGAAGGAAAACAATCAAGCTGTTCTACACTGCGTGAAAGTGACAGTGAGCTGAACCCTTCCAGGGACTGACGCTGTGGTCCCTTCCTTTACTTTGAAATGCTTCCTAACTTTCTCCTTCAACTGGTTTGACTAAATGAGAGAACCCTGTTAGGCTGCAGGCCTACCCCTAAATCAAGTGATGATTTGAGCTCCTGACGGTGAAGGAGTCCCTAAATCGCAGCTTCCCCATGCTGGCCCCAAGTGACCCAATACATGCATGTATAGTTTCAGAAAGAAGCATAGCTCATTTCAGAAGCTGGGGTGAAGTGAGGAATTGGACAGAGGGTGAGCCAAAGGCTACATGGGTGGAAGGTGAGGGGTAGAGGGAGACCCCAGAAAAAGCTGCCGAAGAATGCTGAAGATCAGTGCAGAGACTCTGGTGGGCTTGAGGAGGTCCGGCAACAGGCTGCTCTGTCTTGTAGGTGGGGGCAGAAAGGCAGATGGAAGAGAAGAATCCAGAGCTGATCTGCCCCACCCTCTGGGTTTCACGTTGAGCCTCTGTAATTCAATAGTAAGATGCTCCCTAAGGTGACAGACTACCTCTCCCAGCTTTCACAGCTACAGAGACTTCATAGTTTTAACTCTGTGTATGATGGGAAAATAACAGGAAGGACGTGTGTGGTGAGCTCTGTGACCTTGGGTCCTTTGTCAGTATCAGTGCCTCTGAGGTGCTTCCTTGCTTTTGACCTGGTGTCCCCACCGGGGCCAACCCGGGAGCCAGCTCTTGCCTCAGCTCACCAGCTTCTCCTCCCCGCAACTCCTGGCTCCACTTTCTCTTTTTGATCCTTAAGCTAACAATAGCCCAGGCAAGTCAGGAGTACTATGGGGCCTGCCCAGGCCCTTCTTCTGGATCTGGAGCAGGAGGGAGGAAGAGGCAGCAGCCCAGCACGTGTGAGGGGTGAAGCCAGAGGATGCCAGGACTGCCCCTCTGGACCTGCTCCGTGAGGGCCTCTGCCAGGTTGAAGGGCTGCTCAGGAAAGCATGCACCTGAGCCAGTGGTCCTAGGGCTGTCAGCCTGCCTGGGAGTGGGGAGCCACGGTCATTTGGTTTTAGCGTGGGAGTTGCCTTTTATTTTTACCTGTGTATTTATTCATCTGGATTGTATAACAACTCTAAGAGGACAGGTGTAGTCTTCACCACTGATATGGGTTGGCTGTGTCCCTACCCAAATGTCATCTTGAACTGTAGCTCCCATAATCCCTACGTTGTGGGAGAGACCTGGTGGGAGGTAACTGAGTCTCAGGAGTGGTTACCCAAATGCGGCTGTTCCTTGATAGTGAGTGAGCTCTCATGAGATCTGATGGTTTTTAAGGGGTTTTTCCCCACTTTTGCTTGGCACTTCTCCTTGCTGCCACTATGTGAAGGACGTGTTTGCTTCCCTTTCTGCCATGATTGTAAGCTTCCAGAGGCCTCCCCAGACACGCTGAACTGAGTCAATTAAGCCTCTTTCCTTTATAAATTACCTAGTCTCAGGTATGTCTTTATTAGCAGCATAAGAATGGACTAATACAACCACTATCAGGAAGAAGCATCATAATGGCACTGTCAGGGGAGGTGCCCAGTGAGGCTTTCTTCAAATGAAAGGAGAATATAAGCTTCAAGAAGGCAGGTGGGTAGGGGTGAGTTGCTATTTTATTTATTGCTGTAACCTCTAGTCTGGGGTGGGTATCCCAGCCACTGTGCTGTTAGAAACATGATAAGGGGTAGAGAGAAACAGTCTTTACTGTGCCTATAGGTGTAAAAACCACTTAATGTTGCTTTGTTGGGAGTATTGGAGACCTATGTGCTTGTCACATAGTAGATACTAAGTAAAAAAATATATATATATTTTTTATTGAATTAAGTATTTACCCTGACCTAGGCTAGAAGCCTTTTTATAAGGTTATGGTCTGGGGAGAGTCATGCCAAATTTTTGCAGAGCCTGAATTCCAGATGACTTCATCCACTTAACATTTACTGCGTACCTACTATGTGCTGGGCACAGTAATAGATGTTTGGGATACAAAAATGAATCAGATATGGACCCTGTCTTCAAGAGGGCCACAGGAGACTTTTAAACTAAGGAAAGACAGGGAAAAAGTGTTGCAGGAGTTGGGCAGAATCAGAGAGGTTGTTTAGAGAAGTGGGTGAAAGCACGGGTCCTAGTCTCAGACAGATGAAGTTTTTTTTTTTTTTTTTTTTTTTTGAGACGGAGTTTCGCTCTTGTTACCCAGGCTGTGCAATGGCGCGATCTCGGCTCACCGCAACCTCCGCCTCCCAGGTTCAGGCAATTCTCCTGCCCCAGCCTCCTGAGTCGCTGGGATTACAGGCAAGCGCCACCATGCCCAGCTAATTTTTTGTATTTTTAGTAGAGACGGGGTTTCACCATGTTGACCAGGATGGTCTCGATCTCTTGACCTCGTGATCCACCCACCTCGGCCTCCCAAAGTGCTGGGATTACAGGCTTGAGCCACCGCACCCGGCCCAGACAGATGAAGTTTTAAATATTCATCTAAGCCTAAATTTTATTATCTGTAAAGAGGGATAATAATCATTTCTGTTTATTGCAAAGGTTGTTGTGAGGATTAAATGAGCTAATACATGAAGCTCACTCTGCACAGGGCATGGATTGCAATAAACACAGTAAATACAAAGGTCCTGACATAGTTTGGCTCTGTGTCTCCATCCAAATCTCATCTCCAGTTGTGATCCCCTCATGTCGAGGGAGGGACCTGTAATCCCCATGTGTCAAGGGAGGATGGTGATTGGATCATGGGGGTGGTTCCCCTATGCTGTTCTTTTGATAGTGAGTGAGTTCCCAAGAGTTATGATGGTTTTATAAGTGTTTGGAAGTTCCTTCTTCACTCTTCTCTCTCCTACCACCTTGTGAAGAAGGTGCCTGCTTCCCCTTCTACCATGATTGTAAGTTTCCTGAGGCCTCCCCAGCCATGTGGAACTGTGAGCCAATTAAACCTCTTTCTTTTATAAATTACCCAGTCTTGGCTGGGCACAGTGGCTCACACCTGTGATCCCAGCACTTTGAGAGGCTGAGGCAGGTGGATCACCCGTGGTTGGGAGTTCCAGACCAGCCTGGGCAACATAGTGAACCCTGTCTCTACTAAAAATACAAAAATTAGCCAGGTGTGGTGGTTCATGCCTGTAATCCCAGCTACTCTGGAGGCTGAGGCAGGCAAATACCTTGAACCCGAGGCAGACATTGCAGTGAGCCAAGACTGCACCACTGTGCTCCAGCCTGGGCAACAAGAACAAAACTCTACCTTAATATATATATATATGTGCCGGGCGCGGTGGCTCAAGCCTGTAATCCCAGCACTTTGGGAGGCCGAGG